GCGGGGCGTGTGTGGCAAGTGCGGCCACTGCGGCAAGTGCTGCAAATAGTTGCATTTCCTGCTGCCGCACCAGACAGCTTGTGTGTGAGAGCAGAAGTGATTGATGCAACTGCAGCAATTAGCATTCTGTGGCAGCTGAATGGATGATGGACAAATGGGGCAAGTGTTCGCTCAAGTGTTGCCGCACGAAGTCTGCCTTTAATAAACAAATCGGACACAGCAGGCAATTGAGCAGTTGACCCAATTGCCAAACAGATACAATTTGTGTGTATTCTGTATCTTTGATTCCAGCCTGTGCCCGGCTATATCTTTGTATCTTTTTATCTATGCTGCGATCATGCGCCTAGCTTTGTATCTTTGTATCTTTGATTCCAGCCTGTGCCTAGCTGTATCTTTGTATCTTTTTATCTTTCTATCTTGGATGCGATCATGTGTCTAGCTATATCTTTTATCTTTGATTCCATCCTGTGTCCAGTTGTACCTTTTTATCTTGTTGATTCCAGCTTGTGCCTAGTATCTGTATCTTTGTATCTGCTGGTTGCACAGCCTGACTCATTTGGGGATCAATAAACATTTGTTTGTCTTTCGGAAATGAACTCGGGCCAGTTGATAACACAGCGCATTCGAAATTTATATTTTGGAGCCCTCGCTCTTGTTTGCAACCGGTTTAAGAAAGTTGTTTCCAAAACTTGTCTGCCAAAAAAAAAAAACACACACCGAAAACAATGAAAAACGTGAGCGTAAGAACAGTCTTTTGTTCATACCCTAACAGCGGATACTTTAAATTTGTCACAAAGTCTATTTGTTATTGATCAATTGAATTGTTTATATTAAATAGCATAAATATTTAAAACATTTAACAGCCAATTCTATTGTGTCTTTTCTTAGAACTTTACCTTTTGCTTCTTGGTTTTTTTTTTAATATGAATCATTTTTCGATTCAATTTCATAATTTAACTCAACAGCTTGAACATTATTTATTTCTTTGAGTTCTTTGCTTTTAATGTGAACTGTTCTTATACTCTGTATACAATGTGAAAAGGAGTTGCTATGCTTCTCCTTTATCATCAAGTGGCAGAAAGTTGGTTTTTCCTCGAAAACTTATTCTAGCTGTACAATTTTCAAGGGTATTTGATAGGGTATTTACTTGTCGGCATTTGTAGCTGATATATTAATGTTTTATTTGATTTGTCGGGTTTTCTTTCATTTTGGCAGCTGCAACTGCAAGTCAAAGGCGCAGACGTCATTTTTGGTAATTAGATACAAAACGGCGAGTATCTGTGAGATACAAATGGGAGATGCTAGCGATGATTAAGCCAGGCCAGCGACTGTCATAGTCAGCTGCTTACGCAGTCTACAGTTAACCACAATAACAACAACAACAACAACAACAACAAGAGCTCTTCACATTTACAGTCACGACAGCGATGAATCACGGCCTGGTTACCTGGCCGGGCCGTGTTTGTTCTCTCGTTTCGCTGGAATGCCTCAATGCCCCCACATATGAGCACGTACACACACACACACACACACACATACACACCGATACAGCTACGTTTTAAAGACACTTATCAATGAAAATTAATTTGATAACAATACGACACGCACACAGCCACAGAGGTCACTGATAGCGGCTCACAATAAAAGTGTGTGTGTGTGTGTATGTATGTATCCCTGGGCGCACCAAAAAAATGCAGCTAGTTCAAAAAAATGCGACATTGAGCGCTGTCAATAGGCGTCACACACACACACACACACACACACACACACACACACTTAAAATTCATTTGTATTGAGTTAACATTTGAATTGATATAACAGAAAATTTGCTTTCGTGTTTTGATGCTTTGTCACCACCTGTAGCTCTCCAGCTCTGCCCCTCTCTCTCTCGCACACACACACACTCTCTCTCTCTCTTCCGCTGTCTAGCTTTATCTGTTTTTTCTTTCGTTTTTGATATTTTTGCACAAAGTTCTAGCCACACAGTTTTTAATAATTTTTTTATTTTATCGTATTTTCATTTAAGGCCACGCATTAGCACCTTTTGATAAATGAGCACTTTTAACCCACTCGATTTTGGCATAACTTTTTCTTTTTTTAAAATATAATTTTTAATAATTTTGCACTTTTTTAACGCTTACGTTTGATTTTGATTTTTGAGAAGACGCACAACAAATTGATTTATTTACTGTTTGTATCAGCAAATCGTTTTGTTTTATATTTCTTTTCTGTTTGTTTTTGAATCGCAATATTTTTTGAGCTTTGAATGGAATCGCAAAAGCCGCGTTTGGCCGTTTTGGGCGCGCACTCGAGCGTTCGTAACGTCTGCACGGCGCGAGTCGTTAAACTGAACTAAATGTTAATGTTAAACGCGCGACACACAGCGGCAAGCTTGCGCGCAGCGTTGCCAGATCGCTGCAACATGTACTAAATGATGCGGTATGCTCGCTAAGTGCAGTAGCAATCAGCTTTACAGCGTGCTGCCATTTGGCGCCTTACTTTTCAAAAATTTCAATTGGGGACATTTCAGCAATATTTATGATAGAATTTATTTATTTATATATTTAAGGTGACTGAAATGAAATAAAAAGTATTAGCTTAGAGCACTAGATGCTATCAACAAATCAGACTAATTAGCGCATCAGCTGTTTAAAGCTTCCTCTTGCATGATGCTGCGCTATAAAAGTGCATGTTTATGAATTGTTTTGGCATCGGGATTGGGTTTGGGAAGGGCTTATCTGTTAGATCTACATGCATGTCAAATACCGCTCGACTAATGTCAAACAAAAAGAGTAACCAATTAAATATGGTAGCTAATCATATATATAGACCGACTTAATGGCCCGTCCGCCTGCAATTGAGCTGAACGATCAGCGATCGCCGGAGGCAGCCACCGTTTAATGTGCCTATAATTGGAGAAATTCCAACTTGGAGGCCATATAAGTAGGGCTGGCATAGAACCCAAACCGATCAAATCCATAGCGAAAATGTTGCCGAATTTTGTACTTCTGCTGCTCAGCTGTGCCGCCTTTGAAGTGGCTTTGGCCTGTGTAAGTCGGGAATTAAACGGAGATCTGTTACTTTGCGGCACATAATCAACATTCGTGAACATCCGCAGAACGGCTACAAGGCGAAGATTGTCAAAATGGAGAACTGTGCCGGCGAGGAGGGAATCATCCAGGTGGACGAGGGCTTCGGCGTCAAGCTGAACAAGAAGTGCGAGCTGGTGCCGACCGGCTGCTTCAGCAACAAGGCCTTCGCCACGGCCGTGGCCAAGTACAAGGTCCAAAAGGATGGCATCGTCATGAAGGAGGGCAAAATCGATCTGTGTGCCGCCGTCGATCAGGTGTCCGCCGAGGCGAAGGACATGCTCAAGGTATTCGGTGCCCCGTCGAGCTGCCCCGTGGCCGAGGAGAAGATCTGCGCCAACGATCACACCGTCGATCTGTCCAAGTACAAGGCCATGCTGGGCATGGCACGCGGTCATTTGATTATCGACAGCGAAATCAAGCACGATACTGTGAGTCGCTTTCATATCTACGATTCAATAACTCCTTGCCTACGATCCACCCCCCTTTTCTATCCAGGGCAAGTCCTGCTTCCATGCCGAGGTCGAAATTGTCAAGAAGTAAGCGCTGCCTCAGCCGAGATCTTCATTGATCTGATATTATATTATGAGTCTTGCAAATTAGCTGTATATTTTCTTTTAATAAACATATTGGTAATGGAGTGCACACGAGAATCAAGAGTTAAAGCATCTACAAGGTTTTTCACCCGCAAGCGTGGAAAACATGTTATGTCACACTCTGTGGCTGATCGAATCCAAATTAATTTTTTAAGGATCTGCGCTAAATATGATTTAAGACGTAAAATTTAAAAAAAAAAAAACTGGACCCGCGCAAAGCTGGGTGACTTCAGCTAACTAGTAATACCGCATTTATTTAAACATTTTACAACACTTTAGCTTACAATAAAGAATTCATTAAAAGTTTCACCCCCAAGCGTGGAATATGGGTGTAAGGCATGTAACTGTCACACTTTGTGGCTCTTCAAACGATCGAATCCAAATCAGCTACCAAAGATCTGCACTAAAATGATTCGAGACGTGTTCAATTCACCTGTTTAAGTGAAAAATGCGTGTAAGTCAATGCCAAAGTCAGAATGTTTAAAAAAAAACACACACAGCTAGTTAGTAATACCGTATATATTTAAACATTTTACAACACTTTAGCTTAAAATATAGAATTCAAAAAATATCAAATCTTAACGTTAGTCTAGGCTCTAGGCACAAAAAGTTGAGTCTGAGCTGCAACTGAAAGTGTGGAAGCTGTTTTGTTATGTTACGTGTTTTTTTTTTGGGGGGGTGAGACCATCTTGAGCAGGGCGAGTTGGGAGTCCAGGAGTTCAGCAGATGCCCGAGAAGCCATAGTCGCAGTCATTGTCCTGCTCCTTCAAGCGACCCAGATAGGGCGAGTGCTTAATGCCGAAGCTGTAGGAGGGCATGTGGGAGAGGTTGACCTGCAAATGGAAGAGGTGCGAAAAAGAAAGGAAGAAAAGCCGAGGAAAATGTCATATTCAGTTGATTTTCATTTGATTTGTTGTTTGTGCTTTTGCTAAAACGCTCAAATTCGAATGGAAAGCTAGGGATAAATCCTATCGGGCCGATTTGCCAGCAGGCAGCGCGTATAACGATCCGGCAAGATATATTGACCCTGGCGGCCGCAGAACGGCGAGTGCATAATGCCAAAGGATATGGACGGCGTGGAACGTTTCTCCCAATACTAAGGCAGGTCGATTAGCTATAGTCTATGGCAGATCTCTATAGAGATCGGGGGCCTACCTTTTCGGGACAGTGTGCGCCGGGACCGGGCTTGTTGTCGTCCGTGATCATCTTGTATTTGCCGCGCATGGTGTAGACGGGCGGCTTGGACTTGGTGGCCGTGTATTCGCCATCGTAATACCCTGGACCGGGCAGCACCAGTTTGGGTATCAACGACGGATGCATGCGTCCGGTCATGGTAAAAGCGGGCGCTGAACGTATGGGACCCTCCTTGCTGCTGCCCAAGACAGTGGGTATCTTGTAGACATTAGGAGCTGTCGCAAGCAAATAAAATTCTCAATAAATTACAGGGTATATTAGGTAGATTATATCGGCTGGACTGGCTGTTCTTTGCTGGTGTCTGAATGGCTGGGTTAATAGATGAGAGAGAGCTTCGTTCATGATGGGGCTGCAAAAAACACACACACACACACACAAAAGGCGGCGAAATTCTTGAGTAAAGCTGGAGGATTACCTGATGATCTTCTCCTGCACGCTGCTTGCCTCCACAGCGTACTTGACGGTACTCGACCTGATCGCCTGGCCACTGCTCACAATCGCCCCATCCGGCTGCACCACCTGGCGCGTACTCGTCTGCGCCGCCTTGGTGGTGCTTGCCTCCGCTCGACCGGCGGCAATTACCTGCAGATTGTCGCACCTGGCCTGTGACTGTACCTGTGCCGAGTGGTGCTCTGTGCTGTGGCTCAACTTGGACTGATCGTTGCCTAAAGTGGTGCTCACTACTTTTGTTGTTTTTGTTGTGGTTGTTGTGGGTGAAAGCTCGGTGCGATTGGTGCTGCGCCTGGTCGTGCTTGTTGTCGCCTGCTCCTGACTGCCCAGCTCGGGCAGCGGAGCGCCATTCACAAGACGCTTCTCAGTTGTTATTGTTGTTGTTGTTGTCGTTGTCGTCGAGGAGCTGTTGCCGTCGACAGCGTTGCGTACTGTGGTGCAAATTGCAATTAGTTGTTTCGAATTTCTAATTTGTGCTGCTTCAGTTCTATATACACACATAAATATGCATATGCTGATGCGCATATGTATTTGCCCTTGCCCTCTAAAAGCTAATTAAACGCTTCAAGTACTCGCTTGCACTCCTTGATAACTTTGCTATTACCAGTTCGATTTCAATCGAATTTTCAGTGCTTAACAAGGGGCTTTTATTGAGGGCATATGCCAAAAATCTTGGCTAAGCGATGTGTAAAACATTAGTTACGATAAGCTGGAAACTATTAGCCTTGGTTTTACTTTCTGCTCAGCCAAACCAATAACAATTAGCTTCGACTACAAGAGCTGACCAATCAGAGCCTGTTGCTCCAGCCTAAGACTTGAGCTTAAGCAAACTGTGTGTGTGTGTATATACATACATATATACATAACAGCATATTTGTATGTATTGAGTACGAACACGAAATTCGTATCATTGCGCTCTCGCAGGCGAAAGAGCGAGAAAACTAAAAATAGAATATACTCTCAAGCAATTATGTTTGTATGTGTGTATACATACATACATAACAGTATATTTGAATGTGTTGTGCAATTCGCTGCAAAGAAATATGTAAGTTTTCTGCGTTATCTTGTCGCTGTAAATATTTCTATATTTACTTTGAGCCAAATTATGCATTAGTGTTAATATTGTCTGTGCTACAAACGGTCTTTTTTTTTATTGTATATGTATATCTAAGCTTACATAGATATATATGAATTTATAATTGTCAGGTCCAACTGGCTTATTCTGCTGGCGCTTCAGTGTCGCCGCCCGCACCCTCGCCGCCAGCGGCGTCGCCTATGGTTGTGCTCTCCGCATTGAGAGTTATGGCTGTGGTTGTGGATACGCTTGTCGAATTGGTGCTATTGGTGGCATTTTTGGCCAAATGGAGTTTCATGTGCCAGCCGCATTCGTATTGGCAGTTCTTGAGCGAGGGCCACTCGTTGTGCTTGTGGATGCGCTTGCACTTGGTAAACACCGAGACGCAGTTCAGTATGATCCGATGGAACACATAGAACTTGCGACGTGGTCCCGAGCAGCTGCGCTCGTGTTTGTACTTGTTCTTGACCAAACAAGCGCCATTTGGCCTGTCTGAAATGTGTCCGGGTAAATTGAGGCCCAAATAGCACAAATGAATTCTAACTTACAGCGTGAAGTATCTATGATGTCGATCAGAGATACGATCCAAAAGACAACAAATCCGTATAACAGCCACCTCATTCTACTCTCATATTATGTCTAAGCTGCTGCCAACTGTATGGCTATGCCCCCATGTAGGGATTTACGTAAGGGTTACGAATCAATTTCGACTGTCTAAATTGCAATTATCCTACAAGCGAGTACGAGTACTTGAAACGTCTCGAGTTTTGGATGACGCGCTTACCGGGACTAGCCAAACGTCTTTCACGTCTTTGCACTATGCGATCTTCAATGTAAGCGCCTCTTGGCTCTAATGTGTGCAGTTTTTTTATGTATATATATATATATTTGATGAATACAGTATATATGCATATATACATGAATACATATGGGGCACATATGTATGTATGTGGTTTGTGGAGGCCAGTACACCGGGGAGTATGTGAGCAAGAGTTGTGCGTGGACATAAATACAGATATATGAAATACAAAGAAAATATGAAATACAGAAAATACACATAAAACAATTAGAGAGTAGATCAAAAGCTAGCCTCGGCTTGCCGAAGACATGCGACCCTTGCAGATATAAGTATGTATATTGACGGTTATCGAAGTAGTATAGTACAGTAAAGTACCTCAGATTGATGGACCATGTGGAATACCTTCTGCAAGGGTCTGAGCGTATGCCTCGAATGCATGCTACGCCAATGTGGCACATAACCGGCACCAGCTTAAAGCTTAAGCGAAAAGCAGGGAGCAGCACCTACCTGGTATGGGCGGCATTGGTAAGGTCTTGAGGCCGAAACTATATGCCGGCGAGCTATCCAGATTGCATTGCTCCGGATGATAGCGTCCGGGAGCTGTGGGCAGGCGCAACAAGATGCAGACACAAAACAAAGAGTAAGCAACATGCGAGTGAACTTAAGCCTAGCTGCTAGGGTAATGCTATTGATAGTTCTTTACCGGGTGCATCGCTGGAGACCTTGATCTCAGTTCGAGTGCCGAACGTGTAGGCTGGAGTTGGGTGTTGGGTGTGCTTTTCCGGTTCGTATGCAGTGGGTGCTGTAATGTTACGTAACGTGACGTAAGGCAACGTAAAGCAATGTATCGTTTTAAAAATGTGCGACTACCACTTAGAAGTACCCCTAGATAGAGCTCTTAACTTACCTGGTGTATCACTGACATGCTCCCGTTTCAGCTTCATGCCAAAGGTGAAGCCTGGCGAGGCATCCAGCTGACAGTTCTCCGGCCTGTAGTCGCAGGGCGCCGGAGTATGGCTGACATGCTCGATGGTCGAGCGACCTGTAATTGTGTAGGCGGGTGTATGGTCAAGCCGGAATTTCTCGGGCGCATAGTCGCACGGCGCTGGATGATGGTTCTCCACCTTGGGGTCGTATTTGCCACCAAATGTGTAAGCAGGTGCATGATCCAGTCGTGTCTTCTCCGGCGAGTAGTCTCCGGGTGCCGGCGTGCCATTTGTGATCTTCACCTCGTGCTTGCCAGCCATAGTGAATGCGGGATTGTGATCCTGACGGACTTTTTCAGGGGAGTAAGCTCCAGGAGCTGGAGTTTCGCTTGGCTTATGAAGATCGTGACGTCCGGCAAAGGAAAAGGCGGGAATGTGATCTAGTCTGACCTTCTCAGGGTGATAATCACCAGGAGCGGGCGAATGATTCTCTACCTTAGGATCATTCCTTCCCCCAAAGGTGTAGGCGGGTATATGGTCCAATCGGGTCTTCTCAGGCGAGTAATCCCCAGGTGCCGGCGTGCCATTTGTGATCTTCACCTCGTGCTTGCCAGCCATAGTGAATGCGGGATTGTGATCCTGACGGACTTTTTCAGGGGAGTAAGCTCCAGGAGCTGGGGTATCGCTTGGCTTTTGAAGGTCATGACGACCAGCAAATGAAAAGGCGGGATTATGGTCTTGTCTGACCTTCTCAGGGTGATAATCACCGGGAGCAGGGGTATGGTTTTCCACCTTGGGATCATTCTTGCCACCAAAGGTATAAGCAGGAGCATGATCGAGTCGGGACTTCTCAGGAGAGTAATCCCCAGGAGCTGGTGTGCCATTTGTCATTTTAACCTCATGCTTGCCAGCCATAGTGAATGCGGGATTGTGATCGTGGCGAACTTTCTCAGGAGAGTATGCTCCGGGAGCTGGGGTATCGCTTGGCTTCTGGAGGTCATGACGACCAGCAAAGGAAAAGGAGGGTGTGTGATCCAATCGGGTCTTCTCGGGAGAATAATCACCAGGAGCTGGCGTGCCATTTGAAATCTTTGGATCGTGCTTTCCAGCCATAGAGAATGCGGGATTATGATCCTGTCGCACTTTTTCAGGGGAGTAAGCTCCAGGTGCTGGGGTATCGGATGGCTTCTGAAGATCATGGCGACCAGCAAAGGAGAAAGCGGGATTGTGATCCTGTCTGACCTTCTCTGGATGGTAATCTCCTGGGGCAGGCGTATGATTCTCTACTTTGGGATCATTTCTTCCACCAAAAGTGTAAGCGGGTGTGTGATCCAAACGGACCTTCTCGGGACAATAATCTCCGGGCGCTGGAGTATCGTTCGAAATCTTAGGGTTGTGTTTTCCACCCATTGAGAATGCGGGATTGTGATCTTGTCGAACCTTTTCAGGGGCATATGCGCCTGGAGCCGGAGTGTCGCTGGGCTTCTGAAGATCGTGACGACCAGCAAAGGAAAAGGCGGGATTGTGGTCTTGTCTGACCTTCTCAGGGTGATAGTCACCGGGAGCAGGGGTATGGTTTTCCACCTTGGGATCATTCTTGCCACCAAAGGTATAAGCAGGAGCATGATCGAGTCGGGACTTCTCAGGAGAGTAATCCCCAGGAGCCGGCGTACCATTTGTCATTTTAACCTCATGCTTGCCAGCCATAGTGAATGCGGGATTGTGATCCTGACGGACTTTTTCAGGAGAGTATGCTCCGGGAGCTGGGGTATCGCTTGGCTTCTGAAGATCATGGCGGCCGGCAAAGGAGAAGGCGGGATTGTGGTCTAGTCGCACCTTTTCGGTCTCATAGGCGCCTGGTGCGGGAGTGTCGCTCGTCTTATGTACGTCATGGCGTCCGGCAAATGAGTAAGCTGGATTGTGATCGTGCCGTACTTTTTCGGGACTGTAGTCGCCTGGTGCCGGGGTGGAGCTATCAATGCGATGCTCATGCTTACCAGCGAAGCTGAACGCTGGCGTGTGATCACTGCGATATTTCTCCGGGGCATACGAGCCGGGCGCCGGCGTTAGGCTTACGGATTTCAGTTCATGTCGGCCGGATAGCGTGTAGGCGGGCCCACTATCCAAGCGCATCTTCTCCGGCTGATAGGTGCCGGGTGCAGGTGTATCTTGCGATTTGGTCGTCTGCACACGATGCCCAAAGCTGAAGGCAGGTGTTTTGTTCAAAATGCATTTCTCTGGCTCGTATGCGCCGGGCGCTGCAACAGAAATGGGGAACATTGCATTAATCCTAGAGCGTGGACTAAGATCGCAAGGGATGTGGTGGAGGCGACTCACCTGGCGTGGCATCAACAACATCGTGATTGGACTTGCCGGCAATGCTAAAAGCGGGTGTCGTGTGCAGTTTAGACTTTTCAGGACTGTATGTGCCAGGTGCTAAAAGTGGGTGACAATAAAACACATCGTGATTAGGCTAAGCATCGCGCTAGCTAAATCTGGAGCCCACCTGGCGAGTCATTGTGCTGTGTGTGCTGCGTCTTTAGGCCAAAACTATAGGCGGGTGTGTGCTCTAGAACTACTTGCTCGGGCTTGTAGGAGCCAGGTGCTGCAAAAGAGTGCCAAGTTTTAACTTATAACATATTGTATTTCCATACTCAATGTACGACTCGAAGTCTTAGGCACGTTAAGCGTACAATGCTATTTACCAGGCAGCTTATCTGCATGATAAACTGCCAAAGGATGAGCGTACATTGAAGAAAGCTGACTCAAGAGTGCCACTTTCGTGGTTTTGTTCTTCTTGGACACATATTTGCTACAGTGCTGGAAAATGGCGTACAATGCTATTTACTAGGCAGTTTATCTGCAGGATAAACTAGCATGAGGCTGAGCCGACTAGCGTCGCGATCGTACATTGAAGAAAGCTGGCTTAAGTTTTGTTCGGTTTAAGTGTAACAACAAACCTGGCGTATAGTCAGGCCGCAGCTCATGATGTTTGATGCCGAAACTAAACTCCGGCGTCTTGCTGGGGTTGACCTTCTCGGGAGAATAGGCGCCAGGAGCTGTGGAACAAATACGAACAGATTACTACCAGACCTCGGAGTGTGCGTTTTTTATTATTTTTAAATTCTAATCTGATTTCTAACTAAAATACTACGAGTGCCTGATTGCTGCTGCTTGGGGAGGGGAGGAGGTAAACAACATATTACCTGGTGTATGCTGATCGTGTTGGATTTTAGTTCGTCTACCAAATGTGAAACGTGGCGAATTCTTTCTTGATTGCGTGTACTTTTCAGGACAATAGCTATTTGGCGCTGTTAGTGTTAATAAAACAAAATATTTGGTACGGGTAACGTTTTTATTTTTGTTTAGACTACACGATACGAGAATGCGGAAATGCAACTAGTGTTGGGTTATACTGCAAAAAAACTAAATGAGGTTAGAAGTTACGAGTTACGAGTTACGAAAAAGTGTTGTTAAGTGCCTAACAGACTAGAGGGAAAACCCCAAACCAGAGAATCGGAGGTGAGAGCGAGCACATGCAATAGAGAAATGTGTGTGTACGACGGATTAACTGGATTAACTGCAAGCTGTTGGCCAGTTAGTTGTGTTACCTGGATTGTTAACTAGATAAACGTTAACCTTAATGCGAAAGGAATAACGAGGCGCACGCGGCTTAATGACATCAAGCGGCACCACTTGATAATGGTTGGGACCTAAAATTGTCAGTCAGTCAGTGTTGTGGGTCGGTTTTATTAAAGAAGAAAAACGTTCCATTAAAATCAAGATCAAAGTAATCGAGAAAAAAAATACAAAAGATAACACAAAGAACATATAAAACGAAATAAAAATACAACGAAACATACAAGAGAGCTACGTGTCTAAGAGCTATGATACAAAAGAGAGCGCGAGAGCGTAACACAAACTAGAAAAGAGAGCGCTCTCAACAAAAACACGGTTGCCACCCTGTCAAATTACTTTGTACCAGATGCATAGATGAAATGTACCTTTTTTTTCATGAGGATTTAAATTAAAATAAGACCCAATATATTTTCAAATATTTGAAATCAATTCCATTTAAATATAAGGAACCAATTTTGGTACATTTGTAGCACATGTGGCAACCCTGTGTACAACTAAGCTACAAAAGAGAGAGAAGAGAGAGAGAGAGAGAAACAGTACTGTACAAAATGAGACAGAGAGAGAGCGATAACTATACTAACTAAAAGCAAGCAGATACAGCTAACTACAAAGAGATAAAGAGAGAGAGAGAGAGGCAATACATAGAGGGCGAGCGAGAGAGAAAGAGAGAGAGAGGTGCTCTCAATTTAAAACGCAGCGTTTACTTACGCGCTGCTTTGGATGATACTTTCACATGGAACATAATTATTCAAAATGATTTCTTATATATATACACAATGCATGATGGATGCGTCTCGTCTGCGCCAGACATGGCTGATGTCTTGCTGATGCTGGATGCTTGATGATGATGCCTCTCCGTAATCCATTAGCGTTAATGATGCGCATGCAAACCGCGACCAACGACCAACAACCATTCAAACAACCAACAGGAACACCAAAACAACCAAGCACAAAACACTGTGAGCACGGCTCGAACGAGGACCGCCTCGACTTACCCGGTATCAGCTGGTACTTGGCGCTGGCCGGCTTCCTGCCGAATGTGTATTTGGGCGTGGCATCGATGACAGCCTTGGAGGCTGGCAACACGTCGTATTCCCCGGGTCCGGGATTCACAAAGGTGGTCAACTCCTTGGGACGACTTTGCAGTGTGGCGGCGCGTGCATGATCCTTGCCCTTCGGTCGCATCCCGGCCACATTGTACTGTGCCGGGCCAGGACCCGTCGTCTCATCCCTGTTGATCAGTTTGTGGCCAAACGAATACGAGGGTGCGCCCTTCTTCTTCGAGTCCGGCACCTTGCTGCCTGCAAAGGTAGAGAAACCCATCAATCATCCCTGCTCAACTCTTACATTTCCCGTTCCCCGTAACCCACCGATTAACGTGGGCAGCTGGACAATTGCCGGACCCGGATTGGTCGTCTCCGCCGCAATGCGGCCCGTGCGCACTGTGGGCGTCCAGGGGCGCTGCTCGATGCTGCCGGCCATGTTAAGTGTGCGTATTATGCGTACCGGTGCGCAGGGTCCCGTTATCTTCTTCTTCTTGTACCTGAATTTTCCCTGAAAGGCAACCTGCAAAAAAAGCGACAGTTCCGGTTTAATATGCAACTCGAACTTCCAAACAGTTGCCGCACATTTTTAATCATTTTGCTGCAGTTCGTCGGATGGCTCTACGGACGTTAATTATGGATCACGGATTGCGGAATTTACGACACAGAAATAAAAAACACAAATTTGACTTTTGTATTTGTTTGGAATTCAATTGAAAGTTGGGGGTGCTTTGGGCTAAAATGTCTGGTAACCCAATAAGCCAAATGCCTAAATTAACATCAAATTCATGACGTAAAATCCATAAAGTCGAACTAAAGTGCTTCAGCTGAGCGTGCTCGACGTGCGTATACCCTGTACTAAAACATATTTATGTGACTACTGTTACTGATATATTCCCTAATAACTGTCAGAGAAGGTTCGCCAAGGATTGAAGCAAAAATGAATCTAGATGCCAAAGGAAACACTTGCTTTGCATAAGTTTAAGCATGGGAAATTTGAAGGCTGCTTCACACTAAGTAGCAGAGAAACACAGCCAAAATTGGCTCAGCCAAAGGATTGATTATGGGCCAGAAGGGGCGTTTCAGGTCAACCCAAACCATTTACCCATATTCAATAAGTATAGGGTATACATAAAAAGGGGCAGCCAATTTGTGACTTGCCGTGTGTGCGATTTGTTTGTTTCGAATTTTCTGGGACAACGCTCGCCGAGAATTGGGTTGGTTCGCCTGCCGATTTGTTTGGTCACGTCAAGAAAATATAAAAAAGACACACAATGGACAAAATGTATAAGTTTGTGGTAGTCCTAGGGCACGTGACCTTCTTATTTTCAGACAGCGCCCAAAAGTGTTGCCTACCCACAGGCGCGAAGGCCTGGTCTGGCTTGGTCTGGTCTGGTCTGGTCTGGTCTGGTAACAGGTAGCGACATCGTGGCAGTGTAATCGATACTTGGCGATGACGACCCCAATTGGCTTTTAGCCTGGCGATTAGCTGAAGCGATTGAACGTCAGCTCAGAGCCTAACCTCACCCCTGCCCTAGCCTGGCCTGGCCTGGCCTGGCCTGGACAGTCTGGCAGCAAGGTTGCGCCTCCAAAAAGTATGCTAAGTGCTAATGTTGGCCATTTGGCGCATGTTGGGCCAACAAAACGATTACATTTAATGACTTATGGAGCGACAATTGCATGCCAAGAAAATGGCTTGTCGAAATTCAAGTTACGCGCGTGCCGTGCGAAAATTAATTTCAATTCGTTCGCGCCAGTGTTGGGCAATGCAGCTGAATATACACGAGTTGAGCACGAATCAATCACGATTTCAAAAAACACTTAAAATATATATACCTATCGATCTGCTGGATGTTATCGATCAACAATTTAAGGTATCTAGGTCCTCTCTTCTCTAAGATCGATGTGGCATGTGTGTTAGGTAAAAATTCGTGTGTGTATTTTACGATTCGTGTTCGTGTCGTACAATGCGATCTGACTAGAAATCGATAATTATCGATATGCTGGAAGTTATCGATCAACAATCTAGAGTATCTAGTTCTTGTCTTCTCTAAGATCGACGTGTTGTGAGTCCCAGCTGAAAACCCGTGTGTTTACTTTACGATTCGTGTTCGTGTCGTGCCCTCACGCGCACATCTCTAGCCCCCAGCCAAAGAACCAGTCTGGCTGTGGCTGTGGCAGCCAAAGCGTGCAACTTCTTTGACCGTGAAATCAACAGCTCTCGGCCTCATGTTATGTAAATACAGTTGAGCCAATTTCTGTGTGGGCGTGGCACAGCAACGACTCGCACTCTAAGTGACAGACGGTTGGCGGGGCATTTTGATGCCATAAAGCAAAGCTGTTCAAATTGAGGCTAAAAAGTGGGCGTGTTTGCGGCCCGCGACCTCGCACGCAATTGAAACATGTTCATTTTCGGCTTGCCTTTGTGTTTGTTGTTCTCTGTTTTCTGGTAGCCAAATGCGCTTCTAGAACCGAATCTTACATCATCGACGAGTCCGGCACCCACACGCGCAATTGCACTTCCCCAAAGGAGGAAGGGGGGGGGGGGGGGGGGTTACTATACATAGATCAATCAAAGCTGTCTAAAGCACACATGGCCCATGCTCGAGTTCGAGATGAATCAGCTCAGGTCTGGCTGCCGGCAGACAGATTTGCGTGGTCATGTCTCAAAATGTTGCCTGCCGCCAACTTATTAATCTTAATTTGTGGCCTAAAATCGTGTTAAAGCGCGCCAACTTAGTCGCATTTATCGAATTAATCAGGTGCACATGCAATGCCAGAGCCACAAGCATGCATACACGGCAAGAAAGGTTCCTCTAAATAGAATTGCATTTTGCAAATTAAATTCCATTTAACAATTAGTTGAAAAAAAAATTAAATTAGAAATTAATTGAATTGAATGGAGCGTCTTAATTATTTTTCAAGTGTAGGGAGAGGTTTGAATAGCTCAATGCTAAGTAAAGGCGCTGGTTCGAATTCCAGTGCGACTTTCGAAAATTATGGATATACTTACATATACTTATACATACACTTTACTCGTTTATTTAATGCATTCGAGCTCGAAATGTTTAAAAATTGGTTCGCATTCGATTGTAACAAAAATTGTTTACAGTGTAGCAATTGCAGTCGGCGCACTTGGAAACAGGTGTCGGGCTACACTTTAATTACAGATGCTGCTGCTGATAGTTTATCAGTGCCAGAAGGTGCTCAGGTCACCGACAACCGGTTCGATTGTCAATTGAGCTCATTCAAATTGATTTCGATCGAGTGCACGCCCACATTTACTGCCCTCCTCCCCCATCACCTCCCCTTTCCGGACAACCTGCGTGAGCTCCCCTCGACGCAGAAACCTGTCAGGCGGCTATTTTCGTTGCATGACTCTATGCTAATGTTACGAAGATCTTGATAGATGATGCCAACTTTGAACTCGCACTTTTTTGCACACTCACACACACACACACACACACACAGAGACACACTCAATAACAACAAGTAGGTAATACAATACAAATACAAGCCAGGCACACGTCAGCAACAATTTATGATGTCAACTAATGCATGAAAAGAGAGAAGAATTTGCCTTGGCGAAGACGAAGATTGAATACACTTACACGCATATTTAATATAAATAATATTTAGTTAAATTACGTTAGTTCAATTTGCATCTAAGCCAGCTAGATTTTTGCTGTAGCTGCTAGAAGCCTTGAAATTAGGTATTTCAGTTAAGGTTGGATTAGCTTAGGCTAGCGCGACAATCTTTTAATCTAGATTCAGCTTAGCTAATTTAGGTACATTGTGAACAACAGTGCGCTCTTTGTCTAACACTGAAGCAGCTTCAGTCTGAATTCTAGCTGAAACCTGATATGCGTTCAGGCCATTGTTAAGAGAGACCTGATAGAACGGAGTGCAAACAGATTCTGTGAGATATTAAGTCGCTTACAATAGCTGGCGAGAGCTACTGCAGAGCTTTGTTTGGTGGCTCTACAACTGTACAGGCAGTGATTCTCAAACTGTATGGATTTAAGATTCTTGCGATGTTTTGAAAACAATCATCCAAAAAATTTTTGATTTTCAAACCGACACCGAGAAATAATCAAAAAATGTTGACTTTGCAAACGAATCGTTTTTTGGCCAACAACTCTTTTTAAGCCCATCGATTTTTAAATTGTTTGAATGCCAATTCGTAGTAGAAATCTGATGTTACAAAAAAAAACCATCAAAAATGTTTTGATTTTCGAACCGATCCCGTTTATGGAGAAAAACACGATTTGGATTTGTCTAGCGGAAAGTGCAATAAATAAAAATATCTATTCCCCGAGGAAAAACAAAACTGTTCTCAACACAAGAAACTCTAAATGTTGTTTTTTTTTTTTTTGTGGCTAATTAAGTAAGCGAAACTTCTGGCAATTAATTGAAGCTAAAAGCTGACAGGCAATTAATTTGTTGCAAATTTTACTCAGATTTTCAGTTAGCCTCTGGCAGCTGATTGTTATAATAAATAATAACTTTTGTTGTATTTGGTTACTTAAAAAAATATATATATACATATTCACATTTTGCGCTCACAAATTTTTGTGAGTGAATGGCCAAAAATGAAATAAAATAAAATGAGCTCATTTTCCAGCACTTAGCGGGCAACTTTTACGCCCAAATACGGCTAGACGAACGAAATACGGCCGACGACTGTGTCTTGGCCATTTCCTTTAGCCCACATTGAGTTGTCCAAAAAGCTGGCCGGGCTCTATAGACACGCTCTAAATGGGTCTCCAGACGGCGCCCACACACGTAACTGCCAAATCTGAAGCGTTTTGTAGCTCTATCGAAATTATTATCTCTCCCTCCCTCTCTCTCTCTGTCTGCCCAGTTAGTACAACAAAAACAACAACAAGAGGGGCAATCGCAACAATCAACATGTTTAATTAACAGCAAAAGAAGCCGCGAGACAAACCCAAAAGACAACACCGGCAAATAGATGTATCAACAATAAATAACAGGTATTTTGTCTAGCTGCAGCACGACGAACATCAAATACCCTTCTGCTCTGAATACTTGGCTACTTGCATATGTCCACTTATTCCTATGACAATTCCTTGAAAACCAGATTCTGTCTAGTGAAGATTTATGATATAGTAAAGCGATAAAAGTAAATCTGGAAAGCGCGAAGTTCACGAGATCTTGAGTTTCTGCCTATTCCTGCTGTGCCTGGCCTTAGATATAGTGCTTCGATCTGATCGATCTTGACTGCGCGCGCAGCTCCGTTCACATAGGACGGGTTAGACGGAATTGGATTATGTATGCCCTATTCTCCGGGCTTGGCCGAATTGAAATACCCTCGGCTGTGAGTTACAACAGCAACCCAAATTAAGTTGACTGCCAAAAGTGTTTTGGGCCAAAAGCGGGCAAAAAGCACAAAGTGATAAAACACAAAAACAAACTGACGTCAGCAATGTCTGTGTGTTTGTGTGTGTGTGTGAACTAGTTTTGTTCTCAAAATCTAATTAGATTTTCTAAACGTGTTTTTCGTTTCTTCGAGTTTAAGCAAAACGTTTGCCAAGTGAAAGCTGGAAAGCGGCTCCTGAGTCACTCGACTACTTGAATTCCTGCCAAGATCCACAGAACCAATCGCTTAGCTATATGCTAAATTGTAAATGTTATAGACCATTTCCGTTCTGTGCAATTTATGGTAAAAGTACGCGCTGAATGGGCCTGGGAACGGCACGCAGTCGCAGCTCTGACTAATATTTGCATGGCTTTTGCCTGTTATATCAGCTTATAAATATTTATTTTATGCATTTACAAAGCTCAAAAAACATAATCTGTGTTTTTTTTCTCTCTCTCTCTCTCTCTCTGTTTTGTATACCCTGTAACTATTTAAGTTGAGCGAAATGGGGTATATTGCAGTTGTGCAGTTGAAGCCAAGTTTTTATTATCTTAAACAGCATTGATCTATATTCCATTCATGTTCCGAATAAAACACATAATCGATAATTATCGATCTGGTTTTAGGCATATATCGATAATTGTGAAAACAAAATACACGAACTTTTCTATATAGACTTATGTATAGCAAAACCATTTAATTTGATCGATAACTTTCTCGATGCTCTTTACAATCGATAAAAATTGATTGACCTTTTAACTTTATTGAGCATATCTCGCAGATTGTAAGAGCTAAGAGCAGCAAATTTGAAAGGTAGATTCATTTTTTGTATACCTCAGCCCAAATTACAAAAATAGAAGAGCCAAACTCCAGATAATTGGGATATGCAAACATTCGACTTAAGGCAGAAAAGTTATTTAAAAATATTAAATAATATTTCTTACAGTTGAGCAAAGGCAGAACTTTGCACAGCTGACTACAGGGTATCTGCTGGGCGTACCCATTCGACTTTTGTGTTTTTTTTTTGTAGGTGTTGTTTTTGCCTCTAGCTTTTTCTACTTCTCTTTTACTTTGGTAATTTAATTTTGGTAGCTGTTTCTGTTGCTGTTGTTGTTGTTGTTGAGCTCACAATCAGTGGCTCTCAGAAAAAAAAGAGTTCGAAATAGACGCAAAGTCGACCGGTTTGCGCTTGATGGAGCTGATGTCATATGGGCCTGAAAAAAACTGGGCACTTGTGGAAAGGTTTCCGCGTTGCCACTTGTGGCACCGGCGCGAGTGCGACATCAATGGAAAACAATTGACAAAACAATGTTGTTTTGTGCGGCGCGAACAGCTGTTCCTGTGGCGTGGGCGGGGGCGGGACGGAGGCGGAGGCGTTGGTGTTCCGATTCGTGGAGCTGCCACAAAATGCCAATACAGACAGACAATCGACCCGTGCAACTCCTGCCAGTCAGTCAATGAACTTTTAGGTCAGGACAAGCGCCAAGCGACACGCAATGCCAGCAGTCACAGTCACAGTCACTGTCACAGTCACAGTCACAGTTGGGTTAGCTGAATAGCTGTTGCCCTTTTATTTTGGTTGCCCCTTGTTTACTTACCACAAACGGTTGTGTCTGTGCCTCTGTTGCCGCTGTTGTCGCCCTTTTTAGCTTTCGACTTTTTCAACTTTGATTTGCACAATAAAAAACTTTCAGTTAGCACCGGGCTAGCCGTTTCAAAGGCAAACAGTCCTTGCTCGATTTACAGCCTGTGCGGCAGGACTTTCAAAACATCTGCGTAGACGTTGGCAAAAAGCACAACAACTCAACGCGAGCGTTACGATTGTGCGGGCGTGGGGGGTTGGGGGACTCGGGGTAGAGGGGGTGTTTGTTTTCGTTGTTCGCTGATCGTTAATTGAGTTAAAGTGACAGCCGTTGCGCTCGTTAAATTGCTAGAAAATTGCCAAAATAATATACGATTCAAGAATTTGTTGCTACTGTTTTTGTGGTTATTTTCGCTTTAGTTCAAATATCTGTTTCGGTTTTCGGTTTTATTTATTTCGACTTCGTAACGTACTCGAGCGTTGCTGAACACAAACTGAGCGCCAAAGTTGCCGTCTGTTGCCTTTTCGAATGTTTCGTCAACAGCAGCTGTAATAGCATAACATAGCAGACACATTTAACAGTCACAACAAGAATAGGGGCAACCGCAGCAATAACAGTAGCAGCAGCAATAACAGCAGCTATATTAGCAGGCAATAACACTAACATTTAATGTTAATGTTGCAGTCTGTTGCCTTTACGTTTGCATATTTACTTACAGCAGCTGCAGTAGCAGTTAGGCGTAACGGAACAATTCCCAACTGTTGCCGTTTGTTTTGAATAATTGCGAATGATATCAAAACAAAAATAGTGATAACAGCAGCAACAACAACAACAGCCACATCAATAACAGCAACATTTAAGCCAATTGGCGATGTGTTGTCTTTTCGTATGCATATTGCATATTTAACGAAAAAATGTTCGTCTGTTGGCTCTAGTTGCTAACAGATAAGAACAAGAAACAGCAGCTGTTGCAGCTGTCTTTAACAGCAGCTACATGATAAACACTTAACAGTCGCCTTGCCAGCTCTGCGTTGGCGTTAACAGCGTCAAGCGGAGCCAACGACTGTTAATGAACTTTGTATACTTCTTAACGGTTTTGCAATGGTTTTGACCTTCGCGGCGAATTTCCAGCTGCTCTGGCTTTCAATCGAGATTGAACGCGCTGTGTTCTGAGTCAGTATTCGCCCACATTTCCAGCGCAATTGTGGATTACTTAATGGCTCATTGAATATCTATAATTCGTTTAGGTTTTACTCATCGAACTGGCCGTTTATGGCGATTTGACAATGCTGCCTCTTGTTGTTATATAATCAAAATAATGATTCTCAGTGCTGCGGTCGCACTCAGACAGACAGACCTTCACCCACACATGCGCCAAATGGAGCGTGAAAAACGTTTTGCCAACCCAAAGCCATATAAGATCAGTTTTCACAGTCTAAGATATAGAAGTTTTTAATGCAATGAGTATTGACTAAATACGCCAAAATAAAACAATATATTTTTATATGTCAAACTCTTCATCAAACTAAAACTTATCAGTTCTTATTCCATTTGCTAGCTTTGATCTCACACAACATAGTTCTGTTAAATATGCTACAGAAAATTTAACATGTTGCATAACATAAGAAGTATACAAACATTACTAATTCTTCAAAAAAGATTTTAAAATTCTTTTACCGTTTCCTGATTTAACATAACTATTCGAGTTCGAGTTTAACATAGTTATGTTAAGTCACGTTTTGTCTACTTTTTGAACGACGACTTTTTTAATATATTAAATATTATTTATTTCAGGTAAATACAGTCACAACTTGACAAAAGGGAGGACAGAAGGATATAAGCTGAAAAAGACCAGACAAAGCTTACTTTGGCAACGCCGGATAATACCTGCTAAGTGTAGATACATGAAACAAAAACTAAATGTTCAAATGCTGCAAAACTATATAAATAATAATAATAATAATATAATATAATAATAATAATAATAATAATATAAATAATAATAATAATAATAAGCAATAAAAATACGATGTTACGAAACAAAATAAATATATTAAAAAATAAATCAATTCTGTTTTTTTTCTTGTGAGGAATTTTTTGGGCAGGTAAGGTGAGTAATTCGAAAGAGTCGACATAGCTCGCCCTTGATCGCCAAATTATGTCGTTAGAAAACATATCTCTGGAAAAAAAGTCCGATTTTCATTTATAAAACGGCGGAGATATGTCGTTTCAGAACGAACATAATTCCTTGGAGATATGTCGTTTCAAAGCGACATAATATCTTTGACGGCGGAGATATGTCGTTTCAAAACGACATAACTCCGCGGAATTATGTTCGTTTCAAAGCGACATAATATCTTTGACGGCGGAGATATGTCGTTTCAGAACGAACATAATTCCTTGGAGATATGTCGTTTCAAAACGACATAATATCTTTTGACGGCGGAAATATGTTGTTTCCGCGGAGATATGTCGTTTCAAAACGACATATTCTCTTTTGACGGCGGAGATTTTTCGTTTCCGCGGAGATATGTCGTTTCAAAGCGACATAATATCTTTGACGGCGGAGATATGTCGTTTCAAAACGACATATCTCCGCGGAATTATGTTCGTTTCAAATCGACGTAATCTCTTTCAACGGCGGAGGTATTTCGTTTCTCTTTTAACGGCGGAGATATGTCGTTTCAGAACGGACATAATTCCTTGGAGATATGTCGTTTCAAAGCGACATAATATCTTTGACGGCGGAGATATGTCGTTTCAAAACGACATATCTCCGCGGAATTATGTTCGTTTCAAATCGACGTAATCTCTTTCAACGGCGGAGTTATTTCGTTTCTCTTTTAACGGCGGAGATATGTCGTTTCAGAACGGACATAATTCCTTGGAGATATGTCGTTTCAAAGCGACATAATATCTTTGACGGCGGAGATATGTCGTTTCAAAACGACATATCTCCGCGGAATTATGTTCGTTTCAAATCGACGTAATCTCTTTCAACGGCGGAGGTATTTCGTTTCTCTTTTAACGGCGGAGATATGTCGTTTCAGAACGGACATAATTCCTTGGAGATATGTCGTTTCAAAGCGACATAATATCTTTGACGGCGGAGATATGTCGTTTCAGAACGACATATCTCCGCGGAATTATGTTCGTTTCAAATCGACGTAATCTCTTTCAACGGCGGAGGTATTTCGTTTCTCTTTTAACGGCGGAGATATGTCGTTTCAGAACGGACATAATTCCTTGGAGATATGTCGTTTCAAAGCGACATAATATCTTTGACGGCGGAGATATGTCGTTTCAGAACGACATATCTCCGCGGAATTATGTTCGTTTCAAAGCGACATAATATCTTTGACGGCGGAGATATGTCGTTTCCGCAGAGATATGTCGTTTCAAAACGACATATTCTCTTTTGACGGCGGAGATTTTTCGTTTCCGCGGAGATATGTCGTTTCAAAGCGATATAATATCTTTGACGGCGGAGATATGTCGTTTCAAAACGACATATCTCCGCGGAATTATGTTCGTTTCAAATCGACGTAATCTCTTTCAACGGCGGAGGTATTTCGTTTCTCTTTTAACGGCGGAGATATGTCGTTTCAGAACGGACATAATTCCTTGGAGATATGTCGTTTCAAAGCGACATAATATCTTTGACGGCGGAGATATGTCGTTTCAGAACGACATATCTCCGCGGAATTATGTTCGTTTCAAAGCGACATAATATCTTTGACGGCGGAGATATGTCGTTTCCGCGGAGATATGTCGTTTCAAAACGACATATTCTCTTTTGACGGCAGAGATATTTCGTTTCCGCGGAGATATGTCGTTTCAAAACGACATAATATCCTTTGACGGCGGAGATATGTCGTTTCAGAACGAACATAATTCCTTGGAGATATGTCGTTTCAAAACGACATATTCTCTTATGACGGCAGAGATATTTCGTTTCTCTTTTAACGGCGGAGATATGTCGTTTCAGAACGGACATAATTCCTTGGAGATATGTCGTTTCAAAGCGACATATTCTCTTTTAACGGCGGAGATATGTCGTTTCCGCGGAGATATGTCGTTTCAAAGCGATATAATATCTTTGACGGCGGAGATATGTCGTTTCAAAACGACATATCTCCGCGGAATTATGTTCGTTTCAAATCGACGTAATCTCTTTCAACGGCGGAGGTATTTCGTTTCTCTTTTAACGGCGGAGATATGTCGTTTCAGAACGGACATAATTCCGCGGATATATGATCATGGCGAGATTATGCCGTTTTGAAGCTAAATAACTCCGCCGCTTTAAAAATGAAAATCAGACGAGAGCTGTTTTCTAACGACATAATCTCGCGCAGATCAACGGCGAAGCTATGCCGACACTGCCCAAAAAATACCTCACAAAAAAAACATCAGAATTGATTTATTTTTCAATATATTTATTTTGTTTCGTAACATCGTATGTTCATTGCTTAATTATTATTTACATAGTTATTTAAAAAATATATGTTTTGCAGCATTTGAATATTTCTTCTGTCCTCCCGTTTGTCAAGTTTTGACGGTATTTACCTGAAATAAATAATATTTAATATATTAAAAAAAGTCGTCGTTCAAAACGTAGGCAAAACGTGTTGAAATCGGGCATTATTTGGCGGAGATACTCAAATAAAAATCATCAAAAATGTGTGCTTTACAAACGAATCGGTTTTTGGTCATCAACTTTTTTGAACCGACCGATTTGTAAACTGTTTGAATGCCATTTGATAGTGGGGATCCGTACGAATTAAAACAGGTATAAAAATCAGACAATATTTACCCGAGATATTAAAAAAAAAATCATCAAAAAAGATTCGATTTTCGAACCGACCCCGATTTTGAAAAAAAAAACGTGATGTAACCCCTTGCCATTTTGACGATTTGGATCAAAATTTAGGTTTTCACCTTTTTAACCTAAACAACTTAATTTTCGACCGATCGTTCCTATGGCAGCTATACGATATAGTGGTCCGATCCAGCTGGTTTTGTGCTGCTTACAACAGTAAGAGATACTTCTGCAAAGTTTCATAAAGATAGCTTTAAGACTGAAGGACCAGTTCGTATAGAAACAGACAGACAGACATGGCTATAACGATCGGCTGTTGATGGTGATCAAGAATATATATATTTTATGGGGTCGGAGATGTATCCTTTTATGCCGTACACATTTCACGACAAAATTATAATACCCTCTGCAAGGGTATAAAAAGGTGAATAGTAAATAATTTTAAATAATGTTCGTATAAATGGTAAATACGTAAAACAATAAAACCTTGCTTATAATTCAGGAAAATTGCAGGCACCTCCAATAAAATATTTATGCGCTTCTTTAGGACCATTTATTTATATCTTTTATTAAGTATCAATATCACGTTGATGATCTTTTGTTGTTGTTGTTGTATTGGGCTTTCGGTTTTCATAGCAATAAATGTGGTTTTACGTAAGTCGTTATACATATATATATATTTATAGTTCTAGGCGCAATAAATCGACTAAGCGGCGTATTAATATGGGCTTGTTCTATGGGGATATTGTATTTTGTCGCGTATGTGTTCGTATAGACCAGAGGACATAGTTAAGATCTATATGATTTTTATAAAAATCCAGCAAATTAACAAGAAGTCTTGTGGACGTCAAACATATCTTTATATATATATATAACTGTATGTGTAGGTGTATATAGCTAGCATGCATGTTAACGCTATATATCTGTATATATATATATATATATATATATATATATATATTCCTATATATATAAAGTTGATAGTTAAGAAACTTACAGGCTAGACATATAAACGCAAGTCGCAGACTAGGCGGCGCTTCTATCAAAACTGTATCAAAATTTCTATAAAATGTACTCAATTTGCTTTTCTTTATATATATTTAACTTTTTTTGTTTTTAATTTGATTTGTGGTTGTGTTTGCGTTTGATTTCTTTGGTGTTCAATTGCTGTGTTTCGATTTAAATATATATATATTTATTTTCAAGTCTTGTTTTCATTGTTGCATTCGGTTCATTGGTTCTCTGGTTTGCTCTTACGGAATCGGGTTGTTTGGCTCGCAAATGCATTTTGGCGCTGAAACCGAATTTAAGTGCGTACAGTCTGGCCCATTAAAGGTTAGAGGTTGAGTACAATGCAGTTAAAATAATTAAAAAATGGTTAAAATGAAAATTGAACACAAAAATTCAAATATTATTTTCATAATACATTTTATTTGTATTTTCTGTTTTCGTTTGTTTGTGGCTTAGGCGAGCGTTCTTTAAAAATTAATTAAGTAAAACTTTTCATAAAAATAGATAAAATATATATATATATATATACGTATGTATGTGTGTATGTATGCATGTTTATATATATATATATATTGGTAGCATGTGCATAAGAAATTAAGAATCCATTTAAAATTTGCATGCACGGGCAGAATAATAATAATTATAATTATAAATTGTTGAGTTTGGTTAAAATTAAGAAAAATTAAATGAAACTGCGCTGCATACAAATCGCTGCATAATGTTTAAACAATAAATCACAAAACTTAAACTAAGCACGTAAAATTCTAAACTAACAAATTTGCCGATTTTTTTTTTTGTGTATTTCCTTTTTTTTTCGAGACTTTTGCTTAAATATTAATTTTACGTTTAATCAGTTTTCTTAGATTCAGTTTTCATTATAAAATGTATTGTTGTTATTTTTCTTTTTTTCTATATAAACTTACTTAATAAAAAGCACAGTTATATATATAAATATATATATGTGTATGTATTTGCGTAGTATCGTATATTGTGTGTCTGCATACATATATATTTTGTATGCATATCGTATATTTGTTATGAAATGTATCAAAAATTTGACTATTTGCTACAGTTAACTATAATCCATATATATATATATATATAGTTAATGTTTTTCTTTTGCTTTCGCTTCTGTATGCCAGTTAAACGCGCTCTATAACCTTGCACATACATATACACACATCTAATTCGATTTATATATAAACATAATGATATCATTTGTAGCTCATATATATATGTATATATATATATAAAGTGTGTTATAAATATAATTGTGAATAATCTTTAGCTGCAACTACAACTTTTCTGTTCATACATATTTGAAAAACTATGCACGATCCAAACATAATTTGCTTTGCTTTGTTACTTAAGTTAATGCCTTCATATCTGAATAGCATATCTCAAATATAGTTAATATTTAGTTGTATATATTTATGTTGGTTTGCTAATCAGTGCGTGATCCCAGACCAGAGTCGATCCATTGCCATCCCATTCGCATCCGCATCCGCTTAGTCGGTCAGCGTTTGGGCCACAAGCGCCAGCTGCTCTTTGAGCACACGGAACGAGGGACGCTCCTCGGGCCCATGCGACCAGCACTTTTTCATGACCTGCAAAACAAGAGCAAATGCAAATTATTTTGATTATTTAAAGTTGTTGCTTAAGGTAAACTAATTGTCTAAGAAAGCGAATGGTATCTATTGTGACCTTTCGATCATGATTCGCTATTTTATATCTCGTTGATTATACAGAAAGTCCAATTTTAAGGCCATATCTAACGCATGAATCGAAGCTAAGAACAAGAAAACTATTTAATGCTGCCTTTGCCAGAGTGTGAGACCAAGGCAAGAATAAGACAAGCCGCTTCATTAAGTCTAGTCCAGGGTACACGCTAGTCAGACACACCCGATTGTCTTACTTTAGCATACAAATCTTATAGATTCTATAACTTACATCGTATATCTCCTTGGCACACGACTTTGGTTTCTCTAGTATAATGCCGCGCTGGACACGCTCCACAACTTCGGTGTTCTTTAGACGGCCATAGGGCATTTTGCCACAGGTAAAGATCTCCCACATGAGAACGCCTGAAAAAATATAGAGTACAAACATAATATAAGTATAGAAAAGCTATGAAATAATCAGATCTTATGTGTATGTATTTAAAGCAAGTGCCATCCAAACGATCTTTTTGAATAAAATTTGTAAAAATGCATTATTGTGGTCTTTCATCCTTTTCGGCAAATCCACCAACATAGGTGGAAAATGTGGGCAAGCAGTTTGTTTGTGCAAAGTATTTAATTAAAAAATTTAAATTTCATATCAACTTTTCTTTCATTATTCGACCGATGCCTAAAGCCCTATTTTCCACTTAGATACGTGGATTTACCCAAATTTTCCACCCAGGAAGGTGGAAAGGAAGTTGAAACACGTCCACGACCGTTTGAAAACCCCGCTCTATTATTCAAGAAAGTCTTCAATCAATTCGCATAAGCCTTTCTTTATTTTAAGATCTACTCACCGTAAGCCCACACATCGCTTTTGGAAGAGAAGCGCGTGTAGTTGAGCACCTCGGGCGGTGCCCATTTGATGGGAAACTTGGTGCCGCCAGAGCTGGTATACTGATCGTCCAGCACATAGCGCGCGAGTCCAAAGTCGGCCACTTTGACAACATTCTCGGAGCCGACAAGGCAATTGCGTGCCGCCAGATCGCGATGTATATAGTTGTGTCGCTCCAGATAGGCCATGCCCTTGCTCACTTGTATGCACATGTCCAGCAGGAGGCCCATGTTTCCGATGAGCGTATTCTCGTGCCGGCGCAAATAGTTGAGCAGCGAGCCATGCTTCATGTACTCGGTAACAATATAGATGGGACGATGCTTGGAGCAGACGCCATACAGCTGTACAAGATTCGGATGCTGCAGCTTGGTCATGACCTTGGCCTCCTCAATGAAATCATCCTCGGACATGGTGCCCTCCTTCATCATTTTGACGGCCGTATCGATTGAGCCGCGCCATTTGCCGCGACGCACCACACCGAACTGGCCCGAGCCCAGCTCCTCCATCAACATCAGCTCCATGGGATGGATTTCCCATTTGTCGTGCGATAAGCCCGCCGTCGGTGGCACCGGACGATCGCAGGGCGATGACTTAAGCCGGCACGCCAATCCGCCCGAATTGTGCCGATGATAGTTAATCAGATCCGGAATTGTTTCGCAGCAGTGCTTCTCGCTCAGATAATACTCGCCGCGGGCGTTCTGCTTGATGTGATAGTGCTTCACATGCGACTGGGGACTGTGAATGCAGAGAATATGACATTGATTAGTATTATAATTGATGCTCGTGCTAATTTATATGCCTGAGCTTGAACTGTGACCAGTCGTCAGTCCGTTAACCGACCCTTTTTTGCTTTTCACTTTTCTAACCATTTTCCATCTGTTCTACCTTGAGCCCAATCCACCCAGGCAGGTGGATTCAATGAAAAGTGTGAAAAACTTCTTGAATTTTCTCTTGCCTGCGCCTGCACATCTCATAAGTTAAGTACTGTGAAAAGTTTGGCTTTCTGGACCGTTGGAGTTTCTTCATCAATCGTCCTCTCTTAAGAACTTTAATATTTTCCATTTCCTACTTACACTTTGGTGTGCAGAGATAGCGTATAGAGACCCTTGGTCGATGACTTGCGCACCACAAAGCAGCCCTCCTTGTCGCCCTGCTTGAGCAGCGACTCGGCGCGTTGTCGCGACATGTCGCCCACATACCATCTGCATGGAGTAAGAAAAGTTAAGTGAGAGTTGCTGAATATTATTGCTAAGCCTTACTCGTAACGCTCCAGACCCAACAGCGCCTTGGGCTTCACATAATTGCTGGGTATATAGCCGACATTGCCGAGTGCATCCTTGACCTTCCACCAATGCTCCTGTGAATCGTCAATGACCTCGTATTCGGCATTCTGGAATCGGATTCATTTTTGACTATTCACTTGGTGATTTTAATTTGTAGCTTACCTTCTCCAATGATAAGTCGCCGCCTTCAATGGCTTTGAATGGATAAAGCGCCACCACAAGCTTGACAAAGTGTGAATTGTCCTGCGAAAATGAGTCAAAAGTTGTTGTTAAGTGAGAAGAAAGTTTGGGCGGCCAAAGGTTAAATACCCTTGCGGAAATATCTTGAAGTACAAAAATGTTTTTTTTTACAAAAACTTAAATATAGATGGATAAATACTATATGATAAATTAGTTCGATATAGATAGGATTCTGGACAGATATTAAGTTAAGTTTACAATTTTCAAGTTATGTGAAGATCTCTTGAAAAGTTGTTGTTCGGTTGTTTATAAGTCAACTCGAGATAAGATCGACATACCCAATGGGATCTATATGAGAAAGTAGTTTGCTTTTGATAAGATTTTGCTCAGATATTGAAGGCATAGTAAAGTTCATAATTTCTAAGTGCAGATACCAAAGTGGAAAAAGTGGAAGTTGTCCAAACAAGAACCGATTGTTTCTTAGCAGCTTAATGACATAAGGATCCGAAGCGAACAACTTTGATGCAGTTAATGACTGCAACTAAAGGAAACTTAAGTCTTATAGTAGATAGATCCACAGAAAGCTCAGTTCACATACAGACTTGACTGTTAATGCCTAGGAAGACTATACATAAATATACTTCAAGGGAGAAGACTCTTCCCTTTTGCGCTATAAAATTCGTGCAGAAGCTTAAATAATGATTAAATAATGGAGCTGAAACTCACCTTGGCTTTGGAGTTGGGCGTGCCGGGCGTTGGTATTCCGCCGGGCATGTTGGCATCTAACAAAGCGCCGTTGCCGTTAAGTAAAGTGGGTGACTGCTTGAACGTTGTCAGCGAGGACTGCACAAAGGATCAAGCATAAAGTACAACAAATCAGTTGAGCTGCAGTTAACAATTGCAAAGGGCTTACCTGTGGCTGCAGCGATGTGGGCGTGCAACTGCCACCGCCGCCTCCTACGCCGTTCGGGCTACCCAAGCCTGCACCGCCAACAATGCCGCCAACACCACCGACTCCGACTCCGACTCCGAGTCCGCCACCGACTCCGACTCCGACGCCGACAATGCCGGAGCCACCTAGGCTGCCGGAGCTGTTGTGCTGCAAACTGAATTGACTGTTGGTCGTCGAGTTGTTTGGACTGATGCTGCGCGTCGAATTCTGGGCTGGAGAACTGCCGTTGCCTGAAAAATGCACAGCAAGCGGAAATGGAAAACGGTTACAGAAAGCTCAAAGTATGCAAAACAATAGAAAAAACAACCTGCACATATAATTAATGTTTAATATCAAGCACACAAAATGTCATTTGATTTTGATTGCAAGCAAATGTTTGGTTTGGTTTGGGTTCAAGTTCGTTGCCTAAGTCTTTCGTTTTCAAGGCGCACAAATTGCCGGCAAATTGGCAAAATTCAAAACCAAAATCAATAAGAAAACAAAAAAAATAAAAAACTGAAATAGTTATCAAAAATAATAATCACACTGGCATACAAAATGCTGGCTCAATGCTCGTTTGCGGTAATTAGCCCAGGCAAAGTATCGAAAATCGGCTTAAAGACTCAACTTGAGTCGTGTGCGCGATTCTCGCCAAGGTTAATTACGCCGATTCGACACTGACAAAAAAGAGTTAATGGACGACCGCTGGAGATGCCAAGGCGATCCAACGCCCACAGCTGATGAACAGGCAGGCAGCTGTGCGGTGGGGAAAGGGCGAAGGGGCAGGCTTAGGAGCTGGCTGACACGTCTGTTGACTTTATCTATGGATCAGGCTCCAGTGTCTGTCAATAATATATTTGACTATATGCAAATCAAACGAACTACATACAAAAAAAGGTGCCAAAATTGAACAGCAAGAGTATCCGATTGGCAGATACCCTGTGCGCAGTTTTGCAACAAAGTTTGAACATCTTTGATTGAATGTGCAAAATTTTGGCTCAAATCGATATATATCGATATATGTATCGGTTTTGGGCATATGGAAGATTCAATCGAAAAGAAGATCAAAAAGATCTGCGTATGAAAAAAAAGCAGAAACGCTGTCAATTTGAGCATCTCTAGCTTTTAAATTCTCCAAGTTAGGCCTAAAAGTTGAGCATAAAAACCGATATTTATCGATTACAAAAATTTAAACAAAATGTGTGGGCAGAATTAAGATAAATTTCTAGCTCCAAGAAATCTCGCTTAGATCGATGCGATGTCAATTCGACTGTTTAAGCCGATCAAGAATATAGGAATATATATAGATAGATACAGATATAGAAATGCTATATATATATTCATATCTGCCTTCAGTATACCCTATTGAATTGGACACAGGGCATGCCAAAAAAGTTCACAAAACTGATCTCCAAATCTAACCCCAATTAAGGAAAATATTTCAGCTGTTTCTTTATTTTTTGGCTGTTTTGTGAGCTGTGGGCGACTTATGCAACAATTACACACGCACACACACACGCACACACACACAGATGCACGTGTTGTGTTGCGATGAGTAAGCAGCGTTCAAATTCGAGTACTCGCTTTTGTAAGTACTTCAATGCTGCGCGTACTCGAGTAGGCGCCTCTTGAAGCCGCTTGCGCAGGCGTTTGCTCGAGAATCGAATCGAACCGAAAACAAAAAAAAAAAAAAAACAAACAAACAAACAAAAAAGTGAAGGTTAATCGAAGCGAAAGTGAAGCGATTTCCCAAGCTTGCGTTCACAGCTATTTATTTATAATAATATACATTAATATTTTTAAATGCCCTGCGGACCCAGACACTGGGAAAAACAAAAAGAAAAAAAAACGTGGCAAAAGCCAAAACTTTTCAATTGATCAAACAATTTTTCAATATCGCAAATGCGGGCCACATTTTTCATGTGAAAACTCACGATGTTAACTCGCCGCCTTGCACACTTTGCTTGCCCCTCCCTCTCTCGCTCTCTCCCACTGTCTCTCCCTCTCTCTCCCGCTCTCTCCCGCTCTCTCACGTTGTCTTAACAACAAGCAAAACGTGACACTGGAGCCTGCAGGCAGCTCCAGCTCCAACTCCAGCCTCAGAGACAACAAAAGCGGACAAATAAAAATTGGAAAAGATATGAGAAAAAAGCAAAATAGAAAGTTTTTCTTTTCCCATCGCACTTGCCGGCGCCGTCGTGTGGCTTTTCTTATGCCATTTTCCATGCAAATGAAAAGCGCCAGCGGCATTATTTTCATTGTCTGGCAAAGCCGCGACGCAGACTGTGCGCAGCGACAATAAGAGAGCGAATGCCCTGAATGTAATCTAATCGTTATCGATATATAATCGAATTGTTATCGATATCAAGTACAAAACTGTACTAGCACGTGAAGTTGGCTGCGCTTGGAAGTTATTAAGCGATTCCGATTCGATTTTATTTAAAATTAAATGTAGCATGGAATATAATAATGAAATAATATTTGTTTTGGTTTTCCAGTACTTCGAGCATTTTCTCAAGCGTATTAAAACTTCGTTGCGACTGGGAAAAAGCTTTAGCTCAATTATTTCAAGCTTTCTATCCACAATTTTCCACACACACACACACACACAGACATCAATAGGCCCCACTCAGACGGAAGCATATACATTTTTTATATGCTTATGATTTGGGGCGCAATGTGGGCGTGGCACGTGTACAAGCAGCCTGACAAATTGTCATTATCTGCCGCCGCAATCGTGTTTATGGCCAATTGTGTAATTTTCTTTGCATTTTCTTGCACTTTTTTTTTGCTTAGCAAATTGTTATGCAAATTTTAAGTGCAGCTGCCAGACCTTGCAACTGACAGCAGCTACAAGAGTCGTTGCCAGACTTTCGAACACGTGTTCTATTGTAGCTATTGTTGTCGTTGTTGTTGTTGTACCTGTTACTGGTACACCCGATCAGGTGAAACTGTGCTTCGAGTCGTGCTCAAGCGTGACTCAGTTTGTGACGCCCACTCAAGCTAATATTGTACAAATATATTGAACTATTGAAACAAGTTGTGCGGCCTTTTGATGCCAAAAGGCAAATACAAGAATTGTGCACAGTGAAGACTCGTACTAACGAACATGGTGAGAACAACTCAAATAGCAAGTCCCAATACTTTTTTGAAATGTACTTAGTTATTCAAAAGATAAAAGTTTCTCAATTTTGTACAAAAACTAACACCCGAAAATAACTTAAATGTAAACTGATAGCTCGAAATCTTCGTTGATACACGAGTTCTTTAACATACCAATATATATCGATAAGGTTTCAATATACTCAAAAAGAAAGTTGCTTAAGAATCTTAACAGATATTTGCCCAACAAGTTTTCCCCATTTCTGCATTTATTCGACATATGACGAGAAGAGCTCTGTTAGAATGCCAGGGATTACAATTCTAGCCGCTCGCCTTAGCGAGCTTTCACTGTACTTAATAGACTGCTTAATCAGGAAACGCATTTTTTGTACATTTTTGGATTAGTTTTGCGTCATCTGCTTCTGCTTCTTACCCAGCTTGAGAGCCGATAAAAGCATCATCTCAGCTTGAAAACGTGCGACACGCTCAAGATCTTTGGTTTCTTAAAGATAACTCGAGTGGGTCTCACTTTTATTTAGTTTTTTTTTTTCGAAATTAATTGCAGGCACTTTTCAATATTTGTGTCAATTCACTTTCACATAAATCACTTGTTCGATTGTTCAGTTATTTGTTGACGTTGTTGTTGTTGTTGTTGCTGTTGTTGTTGTTGCATTCGCTTTGACTACAGTTTAAAGTGGTTGTCAAACTGGTTTCATGGCTGCTTCCTTTTTGCAATTCTCTTGTTGTTGTTGTTGTTGCCTCTGCTGGCATTTCCATGCTACTTGGTCTGACCTTTAGGCGTACGACGCTCTGTGCGATCTCTGCTGCGACTGGCTTTTACCGTTACACGTTTAGCCTGGCCCCCAAGCGCTTCCTGGCAACTGCTCCAGACTGTATATATACACTATATACCCTATATATTGATATATATCTGTATGCTTTGTATATATATTTGTACGATTTGGTTGCTTTGACTTTCAGTTTTTTGCTTTACTGTTACTTCTTCAGCTGCTGCTTCTTCCTCTTTGGCTTTCACGCAATGGCAGCGGCAGCCATTTTGAAAAAAAAAAACAAATATTTATGACAAGACGCAAGTTTTTTTTTTTTTTTTTAGTAACAGCAACAACAACAATAATAAGCATCAGCAGCTTGTTAATAATATTATTGAAAATATAATTGAATTATGCATTTAATTATAGGTTTATTATTCTGTTATATTTTAAAATTTATTTAGCGCGTCGCGAACTGTTTCTGTAAATGTTTAAAAGCCAACTGACAAAACGGCAAATGAAATTTTGCTAGCTAGCGACAGCAGCAGCAACAACAACAACAACAACAACAACAACAACAACAACAACAGCAGCAGCAGCAGCCGAAGGTGAGCGACGACGTTGGCAAGTGTAGAGCAGAGCGCACGACGAACGCATGAATGGCAAACGTTGAGAAAATGAAACAAAAGCAAAAATAAAGCGACTTTAACGTCAGCAGCGGCAATAAACATAAAGTAAAACTTAATTGTAGCAGCAGGCAGAGCAGCAGCAGCAGCAACAACATTCATAACAATCAGTGCAGGTGGCAGCGACGCAAAGAGCAAAGCTTAAAGCAGAGAGCGCAAGCGGAGAACTGAAGTTGGTAACAAGCAACAACAACAACAACAAACAGCAGCAGCAGCGGCAGCGACAGCAGCAGAAGCCGCCAAGCGCAACGATTGAAGACAACGATGGCTGCTTGGGCAAGACAGAGGCACAGATCAAGACTTCTGCCCACTGGGCATGTGTGTGTGTGTGTGTGTGTGTGTGTGTGAGGCAATTGTAACTGTATATTTTAAATGTTAACAGAGAGCAAAAGGCAGCAGCGCCAAAGTTCCAAGCAACAATTACATCAACAACAACAGCGCTGAGCAAACGAAAAAAAAAAAAATAATCAAGTAACAAGTTGCACACACACACACAAAAGCATTTGTATAATACGCAAATTCAAGCAAAAAGCCGCAGACAACACAAAAAACAAAGTGCGTTGAGTTTTTCTGTAAAGTTTTTTTTTTTTTCATTTACTGCTGTAATGTCGATGAAGCAACAGAAAATGCACAAAAAAAAAAAACGTTGTTAAAGAGCGCAAAACGAAAGAGCGAGAAAGCTTGCGGAAGCTG